GCCAGGATGGTCTCGATCTCCTGACCTCGTGATCCACCCGTCTCAGCCTCCCAAAGTGCTGGGATTACAGGCTTGAGCCACCGCGCCCGGCCCCAGTGTCTTTTTTTAACCTCACCTCTGAGAAATACTAGTTTAAAGAAAGGTGGATTATTAGCATGTATTTAATAATTCAATACTTATTAATTTTAAGAAATAATAAAGTAATTTATAGTGCTTAGCATTGAAAGGTAACAGGTTTAAAGAGAAAAAGAGAGGCATTTAATGAATTAGTTTAGTTGATTTTCTGCTGAATTGACCATTTAGTTACAGTGTTTACAGTATAAACCAGTGATGGTTTTTATTTTGGAATAATTTTAGATTTACAGAAAAGTTGCAAAGATAATATGTTCCCGTATACTTACTGCTCAGTTATTTTTTAACTTTTTAAAATTTTAATTCTTCAAATTGTTAGAAATTCTGTAAGCATTTAAAATGTTTCTAGGCCAGGTGTGGTAGATCATCCCTGTAATCCCAGCATTTTGGGAGGCCAAGGTGGGAGGATACCTTAAGCCCAGGAGTTTGAAACCAGCCTGGGTAACACAGTGAGACCTTGTCTCTACAAAGAAATTAAAAAAGAAAAGAAAAAGAAAAATTAACTGGGTGTGGTGGCACACACCTGTACTACCAGCTACTTGGGAGGCTAAGGTGGGAGAATTGAGTGAGCTCTGGAGGTTGAGGCTACAGTGAGCTGTGATCAAGCCACTGCACTCCAACCTGAGTGACAGAGCGAGACCCTGTCTCAAAAAAAAGAAATGCTTCTAGATAGGCACGGTGGGTCACATCTGTAACCCCAGCACTTGGGGAGGCCAAGGCGGTGTAGCCCCTTTCCTATGTCACCCAGGTCCCAGCACAACAACCATATTCAGTACCAGCAGACTCTCTCATGCCACCTTTCCTGCTAGAGGGGAAATGGTATGGGCATCAATAGAGGGGGACGTCTAGGTAGTTGTAGAGCTCAAGGCCCAAACCCCCAGCGTGTTGGGTGGGGGTGGGGCAGCCTCAGGGAAGCTAGGCATCAGGTTGTATCCTTTGAAGCAGAGGAGTCAAGCCTTACCTTCTTCTGCTAGCAGTGGCTGGTCCGTCACCCCTCTAGTCCTCTGCTGTTATTGTTTCCATGGGGAGGGTCACAGACCCAGGCACAATGCTAGTCTGAGCAGGCTCAGGCAATTCAGCTAAGCCTCTTGCCAGAGAGGCCTGAGGAGTCGCCTTCTTGCCAGGTGTGCACTTTAAAAAAAATGTTTCTAGATTTTGTTTTATTTTGGAAAAACTAGAAAACGTTGAATTTTTTTATTTTTCCATTTTGGAACTTATCTTGATACTGTAACACAGAACCATGATGCAAAGTAAGAGTTTTGTAATTTTTAGAGGAAATTTGAATGCAATTAGTCTCTAAGCAGTAGTGACATATTTTTCATAATAATCTTGATTACAGATTTTTATCCACAGTAATTCTATGTTATACTTTGTAATACTTTAAAGTTGTTTAAAAGTTATTTATTTATTAAAATAAAACTTAACTGTTATTCATTTCTGCAAGACTATTTGTAAATAAAACTCATATTTTTATATGGCTATTTTTTTAAGGGACCGGACAAACACTTGTGAGAGAAACAGGTTGTATTACAGTTCTGTCACGGTTATTCAGGTAAACAAATACAAATTTCTTTTTGTTAATTATTAATTACTTAGGACCTTAACACATTTGTATTAATTTACTTTCTTTTCTTTTTAACCTAATAGGACAGTTATTTCAAAATATGAGTTGGATTTGTCAGATAAAAATGTTTTCCAGAGTTATCAGTTGTGGTCTTCAGTGTGTAGTACTCTGTGTGTCTGTGTCAACAATCCTCAAAATGGTAACTATCTGTAATGTTTAAATATAAAAATAAAGATAAAAACAAATGAAAACTGATGTTTTCCAATTGTCATATTAAATCATGATTGACTTTGTCTTCTTTCAGATGAGAATCAAATGTTTTGCTGTTCACTTTTTCCACATGCTAATGAATGGCTAAAAAATTGCATGAAACCTGAGATAATTCGCCCTATTTGCTCATTTATTGGACTCACTCTTGCAAATAACAGTAAGTATTCATTATTTTCTAGGTCATAGTTGAAGAAACATTTCAAAGCATAATAAAAACTATTGAATTTATTATTGAATCAATTGAGTTCTTGTAATTTGGGTTATTTTGGATGTATTTAGACTCTTAAAGATAAGAAAATCTTAAAAGTGGATATTTTTAGGAGGATATTGGGAAGATGGTCGTAGCAGCATCGTTTTTTTAATCTCCCCAGATACTCTCATAAAACGGAGAAACCAAATAGCAAGACTAAATACCCATAGAGTGTGTTCTCTGATCACAAGGTAATTAAATTAGAAATGAATAAAAACAAAACATCTAGAAAAGCCCCAAATATCTGGTAATTAAACAACTTGTACTAAAATCCATGAGTCAATGCATAAATCATAAGGAAAATTATAAAATGTTTCTAACTGAATAATAATGAAAATACAACATTAGGCCGGCCATGGTGGCTCACGCCTGTAATCCCAGCACTTTGGAAGGCTGAGGCAGGCAGATCACTTGAGGTCAGGAGTTCGAGACCAGCCTGACCAACATGGTGAAACCCTATCTCTACTAAAAATACAGAAATTAGCTGGGCATGGTGGCAACAATTAGCTGGGCTGGTGGCAGACACCTATAATCCAAGCTGCTTGGGAGGCTGAGGCAGGAGAATCGCGTGAGCCCAGGAGACGGAAGTTGCAGTGAGCCACAATCGCACCATTGCACTCCATCCTGGGCAACAGCAGAATGATACTCTGTCTCAAAAAAAAAAAAAAAAAAAAAAAGCCAGATGCA